ATCAAATACTTATTTCACACAATAAAATGGAAATTAATTATTTAAAAATCATACATTGTATTTTTCTGGATTTTTGTTTTAGATTCCATCACTCACAGTTGAAGAGTGTGATAAAAATTACAGTCATCTACAAGCTTTGCAAGTGGGAAAACCTGAAAAATCAACAGTGTATCAAATACTTGTTCTCCCCACTGTAGCTTTAGCTGTGGTAGCATTAGCATTAGTAGAAATAGCTTTAGCTTTAGTAGCATTTGCATTATTATAAATAGCTTTAGTTGTAGTAGTATTAGCATTATTATAAATATCTTTAGCTGTAGTAGCATTAACAGTATATGTCCATTCATAAGACAGTCCACAGTAAGTTGTCCATGGTGTAACTTTACAAATGTTTAGGACAAAAAATGTCCTCAGACCTTGTGTTCACCTTGGATTTTATTTTTACTAAGATAAACCTGAAGTTCTTCACACCTGATAGCTGCAGTTTCAGGTTCTTACATGTTCTCTGACTAAACTGTTTTGTAGATTTACACGATGACAATCCTCAATGACATTTCAGTCCTCCTCTCTAAACTCATGTCTGTGGTGGTTTCTGCCTGCAGGACGCTGGGCCTGCACCTGGCATCACTGTGACGTCTGCGGGAAAAACTCGAGACTTTCTGCCAACTCTGTCCGAACGCCTTCTGCAAAGCTCACCAGGAGGGGGCGCTGTGTCCCTGGCTCCCAACGAGACAGCTGTGCTGCACGGAGCATGACAGCTGGAGGGAACAAACAACCCGTCCCAGGTCGTAAACGCCTTCGCTGCTGCGGTCGCTCCAAGAGAAAAGCATGCGGAGTCTGACGGGACATTTCAGAACCAAACCGGATTCAGACACCTCCATCATCAACCAGATCATGAAACCGAGACACTGTACGTTCACATCAGGGAAAGCTGCTGATCTCACACTCAGCATTGACCTTTAGCTCTTTTATTTCCCCTCAGCGGTTTGTTTTCTGTATATGTGTCGATGATCCAATCAGCGGGTCGGGGAACTGAGGTAACTCCGACAGACAAACCACCTTTTTTTTATTCCAGATGACAAAACAACAACCACCTCTCCATCTGTCTGTCATCACACAGCTGAGTTTTAAAGTAATAAACAAGTTTCCAAACGTTTTTATTTTTCTAAATTTAAAACACCACAACACACAATCAGGCCTCAAATTACCTCTGGACTTGTTTACGTAGCTTTAGATCACATAAAAATGTAGACATGTTTAAATTTTTTACAACTTATTTTGTTTTAGCTCATTTTTTAAAGATTTTAATTAGTGATCTTTTCTAGAAAACCAAAAACTACGTGGGAGAAATAAAAATGAGAGGTCAGAAACAAACACTACTTAGGAGACTCAGGACGGCTACAACCCGTTCGTTCAGTCGGTTCTGAGTTCCACAGTGAACGTCCTGCGTTAGTGTCTGAATGATGAAGGTTTGAGTCGTTCTGTGGAAATCTGAACGTTTCATTCAATATTCTGCTCTGAGATTTAGTTTAATCCTCAGGAGGTTCTAGTGTCAGACAGATTATGGTTCAGCATTCCAACACTGGCACTCTGCCTTGTGCTGAATAACGAGGAAAATCACTAAATCAATCAATCAACTTTATTTCTATAGCACATTTTAAAAACTGCAGGGGTAGCCAAAGTGCTGTACAATAAGACATAAAGAGAAATTAAGACAATAAAAAGACTAAAGACCACTGAAGCTTGATGGGAAATTAGAGATTTGTCTAAAGTCTAGTTGCTGTCTCGGTGTTTGTAATCAGCGAGCCGAGCATCCAATGTTTTGCAAGTCCCAGCCGCCCCCATGTTGGATTTAATCTGCTGGAGATAATGTAGGCGTTGAAGACGGTCAGAAATGGACCCATTATTCAAAAACATGGGTCTCGTTTTTAGACTTGGCCTCATGTTTTCTGCAGCTGTCAAAACACAGACCTAGCTCTCGATACAGGTTGAAGACACCTGCAACAAAGTTGAGACAGACTGGAGATGCATGTCGTCTCTGAGACTATTGTGAGAAAAAAAATGTGTCTCCAAAAAATGTCTGAACATGTTTAAAACTCGAGCAACAAGATGAGCCTCTGCGACTCACACAAAGACCCAAATAACCTCTGAGAACACTTTTGGACATTCAGGAGACTCCCTCACAAATCCTGTTCACCAACTTGTCTTGGTTCACTAGTCCAGTGAGATACCACGTTAAGATTTGCAGAAACTAAATAGAGAAAGATTCAAGACTTTCACAACTTACTGCATTTTTTGAGAATAAATTTGTTGCACAGACATTAAGTCAAGCAACAAACCTGACTCGAGAGGAAATTAAAAACCAATGGAAATGTTTTGAGACATTCTAGAGTCTCTTGAATAGTGTTTGCAGAGTAGTTGCAGCTGGGGAGATACCACCTTTAAACTAACAAAGTACATTGAGAAGTTTGAGACAAGTTTGAGACTGCAGCAACAAAACTAGGACAAGTGTGAGACATCCGCAATAAAATTGAGATGGGTTTGTGACACGACAAAATTAAGACAAGTGTGAGACATCCACAACAAAACTGAGATGGGTTTGAGACACCTGCATAAAAAACAGACAGGTTTGAGACATCTACAACAAAACAGATAAATTTGAGATGCCCGCAATAAAACAGACAGGTTTGAGATGCTTGCAACAAAACTGAGACAGGTTTGAGACACCCGCCACAAAGCAAACGAGTTTGAAACATCCACAACAAAACTGAGACAAAGTTGAGACACTTGCAACATAACTGAGATGAATTTGAAAAGCTTGCAACAAAATTTATAGGAGTTTGAGACGCCTGCAACAAAATTAAGACCAGTTTGAGATGTATGCAACAAATTTGAGACTAGATTCAGTTTTGCAATGCTTTTGATCATCAAAACTCAAAGCTTTCTGACTGCAGAGGAAATTGAGAATGCTTGCAAATGTTTTGAGACGTTCTAGAGACTCCTGACCAGGTATAAGCAGCACGTTTGGAAATTTAACACTTTTTATTTTTTAGCTTCATACGAGTGATCAAACTTAAATAAAACATGAAAACTATGAGTTTTATACGTTAGTGATGTTTTTCTAGATTCTGCGTTGCTGGAAGGAAAGAACAAAATGCTTTATGGCGTATATTTTCAGAAAGGGATTTCTTTTTGGCTCTTTGGAGAAACGGAGTAACATTTTAGGGACAAAAGTTAAATTTTTGATCAAAAAGTCATCCAACAACAGATGATGCTCCAAACTTAATTTTGGTCTGATCGCCTCCATCTGTAAAAGCTTTCAGTTTTATTTTATTTTATTAATAAAAGTGTTGAAGCGTTTTTTGTACATCATGTTCAGAATGAATCCACATTTTCTCCTTAGCCCAGAGTTGTGTACAAATACATGTTTTTTTTAACCCTGTGAGCAGAATGTCTGTTCCTCTGTAACGTTCTTCGTGCCAACTTTGTGTTGATGGATGCAGTTTGTGACGGTAACTCCTGTAGAGATCAAGGTTTTATTCTGACTACTGTCCTAGCAGAGACTAATGTGGACACAATGGATAAGTGATTGTGGTAAATGCATCTATTTGTAAATATCACAACATTTCTTTGTGCTTTTTTCTTTTCTCCCCTCGTTCCTGCAGAGCTGAGAGCACTTGAGCAGGATCTCACTTGGGTTGAATCGTGCAATGAAGTGGTTGAATGTCGTCTGCTCGAATCGGTTTTCTTTTTTAATGTTTTTTACTTTAAAGTTGTTTCCGTGTTAAAATATCAGGCGTGGAGGGTCAAACGCCATCTTTGGTCTGTTTGTCATCGGCAGGCTTTGTGTAAACAAAAAAACAAGCTAAAATGAGCAACTAAGGGTTAATTCCAAGCTTTTATTTTGAAAGTCTTAGTGTTCTGCCTTTTGTGATGTTAAAATAAAATGATTTCAGGTTGAAATAAACCCGATCGTTGGACTGATGAACGTCGATCCTGGTTCCGGAGGCTGACGATGACGTTTTGTTGAGTTTAACAAGTTTGAGATGAAGAGCGACTCCGAAACTGAAAATCTGGAGTTAAAGTGTTAAAACCTCCAAAGTTTATTCTGTTTAAACTTGTGTACAAATACACAAAATATGTACAAATACTAAGATATTTGAATGAGTATAGTTAGCTCTTAAAAAGTGAGTTCTTGTGTCTCAATGAGATTATCTGAAGAAATAAAGGTTAAAAATGAATATAGAGCTGAAAATAAACAAATGTCAATATAGATATAAATAAAATGGCAAACGAGTTAAATGTCTGAACAGCATCCACCAACACGGGTCCATGTAGAGAAATAAGATAAATCTAGATGACTCATGAACAGATTAACAAGTACAGATAAATATAGATCCAAGTGATTGGTTGTATGTGCATGAACAGGTAATTATAGACCTAGAAGAATAGATGGCGCAATGTAAAGATGGAGACAAGTGCAGAATTAGATATTTATAGATCTAGATTGATGTAGATAGCTCAATGTAGGTAGATCTAGATGAATGTAGAAAGCTTAAGGTAGAAATAATGTGGTCATTGTAGATCTAGAAGAATCTAGACAGCTCAACATAGAACTAGACACATAGATGTGCAGAATGAGGTAATTATAGAGCTAGGTTAATGTAGATAGCACACTAAGAACAATCTAGATTAATCTAGATCTATAATTGCCTATTTTTGCGCATCTATG